ATGTTGATATAATAGTCTAGGTTAACCTTTGTAACCCGTTTTGAAATAATAGAAGTGATTCGAGTATTATGTGTTATGTGCTTAATTGTGTGTCTTAATTTAATTAAGAATAAAAATAAGCATCAAAATGAAATGTTACATAAAGCCGATATCTATGGATAATGTTGTAGTAGTTGAAATGAGGTTTCCGAATATATAAAGAATGCCGAAATCCGAGTTATAACGAAGAAGTTATGACCTGTCAAAGTTTCGCGATGGAACTGGCAACGTTGAACGATGTAAAAAAGTGAAATTTACATTAGAGCAATATTTAGCCTTAGTAATCTAAACGAAAGTCGTAGAGTTCGTTAAACCGAGAGCGTGCAAAAAAAAAGGCCAAACCGGACTTCGTATTAAAAAGTTATGATTTTTCGAAGTTTCGACTTAGCAGTATGCAGCCCGGATACTCGATTTGAGATCGAGCGGTTTTAGCCGAAACAATCTAAACGAGAATCGAAGATCTCGTTAATTGTAGTGAAACGATGAAAAGATAGGCGAAAACGGAAGTCAGATGAAGAAGTTATGATTTTATAACGAAGTTTTCCTGTCCCAGCCTACTAAAAATAAATAATAAAAAATAAAGTCAAAATTAGCCAACGGAGTCTAAACAAAAGTTGTAGAGCGTAGCCTCACCTATGCGGGGATACAAATAACATCGACAACGGAGTTCGTATGAAGGAGATATGAATTTTTGAAGTTTATTAAATAAATAAAATATTAAATTTAAATATAAATTTCGAATATTATCCAAAGGGGGGGGGGGGGAGTCAGCGATCCTATCCAGGTTACGCCCAGCGTACCTAGATTTACGCCCAACGTAAATCGAGGATCCAGACCCTATAAAAGGGATTCGAGTGCAGCCGATTCATTTGCTCATTTTCTCTTCTCTCTCTCCCACTTTGCATCGTTTTGCGCGCCAGAAGTATCCCGAAGCCCCAGTATTATTCCCGAGCCTCGAAGCAAGTTCCGAAGTCCTGAAGATCCCGAGAAGTGTAATTCCCGAGCCGAAGCTCTGCTCGCAAGAAGCCCGGTTTTTGTGAAGATCTTCCAGATCTGCTGAAGAATACTACTTCTGCAAGTCGTAGTGTTGTCCGATCATCTTCTGATCAAGTGAGTGTGTATTTACTTTCTTCTAACATATAATTATGAAGTATTTTATATGAAATACGTGTTATGTGTATAATTTTGTTGTTATGTGTGGGAATGTATATTCACTTTCTTCTATGTCATAGATATGATTTATTCTCTATGAAATACGTGTTATGTGGGTGTGCCTCATCTGTTATGTGGAATATGTATTGAATGAGAATGCTATACAAGTTTTAAACTATGTATAAAAATATATATTTTTATCTACTAATATGTTGGGTAGAACATGGGTAGATAGTTGGTGTGTGATAAACAGATGAGAGGCCTCGATGTTGTTGTTGTTGATCTAGTTATTCAGCGGAGCATGGATAACGACCAGAAACTCTTTCTAGACAGTCTTGTGGAACGCTAGCAGGTTCATAACCTGTAGGTGTTGTGAACGATTTGTTCACCGGTGTACTCTATCCCCCTCATGGTTGCTTTTAGGATATCTATTGTTGAGGAAACCCCTTAGCAGTAATGTCCGTCCCGATGAAAATCCTAGATTAGGTCCCTTGAGATAGATGTTGTTTTAGGGACATAAAGTGAAGATAACGGGAATGGTTAATCAGGTTATTGTTAGTTGGTGAAATTAAATATAATTATTTATTGTGGGTTGAAAACCCTATATGCTAACCAGGCTCCCAAGCCTAACGCACTCAGTTTATTTGTATTACAGGAAGTGGCGCAAGGGCATAAGATGGATGAATCATCAAGTTGTTTTGTTTACAAGTCTGTATATGTATATATTTGTTGAATGACTTGTAATGTTATCGTTTATGCTTTATGGTCTGTATCGGAACATGACATCCCGAGTTTTGATTATATAATGAAAATGCATCTCTTGAAGAAATGCTTCGATAAATATTATCTTATCATATTTTGTTTTTGGGAACAAATTCTGCAACTATTTTAAATCAAAAGGATTTACTCTGAAATTATTTTAAAAAGCATAAATGAAATCGGTCTTTTGTGGCCGAGATTTTGGGGATGTCACAAAACTCCTGAACGAACGGGGGTCCGGGGGCAGCACCCTTGGGAGCGGGGTCCAAGGGGCGGCAGCCCCTGCGCAGGGTCCAAGTGGCAGATCCTATGGCTGGGATCGAGCTGCTAGGTCAGTGCGAAATTTTTTTATTTGGGTTATATTGTTGTATTGAAAATGCATCAAAAATCCAAATTTAGAATATTTGACTCGTTTTTTGGCTTGGTATTAATCATTATAGAAACCCGAATTTATGATAGTTTTTTAACTGTTGCCAAACTGTTTTATGACAGTTTTAACAGATTTCAGACGGAAAATCTTCAAAAAAGTCTCAAACTTTTGGGAAAAGTTACACTTTAATCCCAATTTTTTTTGAACGAAAAAAATCTTGAAAACCGGCTAAACCTTACACTTTAATCCTTTTTGACCTGTCACATACAACCAAACACATTTTCCACTAGGCTAGACACTTTTTTATGATTTCATTCCTTAAAGTTTGTATATAATGCATTAAATGCTTAAGCTTTTCATAGAAAAAAGGGAGTAGGATTCGAACCCACCGCCTCACAATAACAATATCACCCACTTTCCACTGAGTTATCAACTTTTTGTTAATAACCTTCCTCAAAGCTTTATATAATGCTCAGAGTGCTGAAGATTTTATTACACTTATTATTATTATTATTATTATTATTATTATTATTATTATTATATTTAAAAATGTAAATATATGTAATAAAATGTGTTTATATATTTAAAAAAAATATAAAAATACATATAAAATAAATAAAAATACTTAAAAAATATAAATATGTAACTAAATATATAAAAATACATAAAATTACATATAAATATGTAAAAATAAAGTTATACATTTAGAATACATAAAAATATGTCAACCATATTTAAAAATACATAAAAACGTAAAACATAGACATATATAAAAATAAAAATACATATAATTACGTAAAAATATGTTTATAAATTTAAAATACATAAAAATATTTAAAATACTTAAAAAAATATATAAATACATAAAAAATATCATTATACATTTAATATATTTATTTATGAATTATTATATATAATTACGTTTTTAAATATAATAATAATAATAATAATAATAATAATAATAAAAGCTTCAACATTTTGAGTATTATGTATACAGTACTTAAGAAAAAGTTCTTAACCTAGTGGAAAGTGGATGACATTATTACTGGGAGGTTGTGGGTTCGATTATTCGAATATCATTTCTTTCTTTTTCAATGAAAAGCTTCAACATTTAATACATTATATTTAAACTTTAAGGGGTTAAATGGAGATTGTGGGTTCGAATATTATTTCTTTCTTTTTCAATGAAAAGCTTCAACATTTAATACGTTATATATAAACTTTAAGGGGTTAAATCAGGAGATGTTGTCTAGCCTAGTCGAAAGTGTGTTTGATTCTATGTGGTTGGTGTTGGGTTCAAATTCCACTCCTCTCATTTTCTTAAGAAAGTTTGATTTTTGCATTTCAAAGAACCATACGCTGATGTGGCATGCCACGTCAGCATCCACATCAGCCCTTGTCCAGCTGGTATGCCATGTGGCATAGGTGACCTACTCAACTGGTTAAAATGATTAAAGTGTAAGATTTAGCCGGTTTTTAAGATTTTTTCGTTCAAAATTTTTTTTTGAGACTGAAGTGTAACTATTCCTAGAAATTTGGGATTTTTTTTGAAGATTTCATTTATCAGACAAAGAAAGTATTTAACCAATTTTGGTCAGTTTTTTCTGGTACTCACGAAATTCATATATCACTTTTTTTTTTTTTTTTTTTTTTTTTTGAGTCTTATCCAATCAAAGATTAGGGAGTACCACCCAATACTTTGATTTGATAGCGAAATCACAATTCTTAGAATTTTCAAGACTATTATTATCCCATTTTTCTAACAAGGAAGGATCACTATTGGCCAATAAATTGTTTTCAAACTATTATCTACTCGTTTTAATCCTATATACAACATTAATCATACAAATACAATAAAATCATATGTAAAAACAAAGGTGAAATTATATTCTATTTTCATTTTTTTTTCCTTATTAGGAAAATATACTTTGAAATTTTTCTTCAACTATAGAGTGAAGATTGTTCTGCTTTTGGATAAAACTGTTATATTTGGATTTGTAATATAATGTTGTAATATTAACGAATGAACCCGTCGAAATAATTTGAAACTTTAATAATCCGATATCTGTTCATAGGGTTCAAATTTACAACAGCCTATGCAATATATCTAAAGCAAATATGACCAAAACACACACACACACAACAAGATACATAAATAAACATCAAAACATCACATTTGGAAGCAAATAGTATAAATCTAAAGCGTAAAATGTAAAATAAGAATGTTTCTGAGTGAGCATAATGTGAAACAGACAAAAATGTGAAACATGTGTAATGTGTTTCCTTCCTTTCAAGCACAAGTAGGCCAAAACAAACCTTTACGTAAGTTTTATATGTATAAAATCACCTTTTAAAAGAACATAAACTTACCTGATTCTGCCTATTTTCTCAAATTTCTCAATGTGAAAAAAAAAAAAAAAATCTAAACCTATTTTTTGCTTTAATATAGGGAGACCACTTTTTGACCCTTTCACATTTCATATTTCACAATAGCCCTTGCAAAATGCTTGACTACCTTTAGGAACGAATCATTTTTTTGGTTAATATATGCCAAATTATTAAGGAAAATAGATATATTTAACTATTTCTCAAAAAGTAATAGTAAACTAACATTATATAACGACCAAAAGACATTACAACACAAAAAAAAATGTTATTGAATAGTTATCTATTAGTACAAATCACATCACAACACAACAAAAGTCATACTATTTGTTACAATAATTTTACATAAAAATAAATTTATAGAATTATATATATACAATATACATTGTAACAATGCTATTCAAATACTAGCATGTGAAGATATAACAATGAATCAAATTTCTAATTTGTTAATCAACAGTAAAAAAAAAACACCAGATACAGCTAGACTATGACGACTCCCTGCTAGGAGTGGTTGGAAGAGAATATGTCCCGCGACCACCATTGGGGATCTGTGAAGCGCCCCAATGGTCATGAAAAGATACAGTTGGAAGACCTTCAAGGGTCGACCTTGGAGACTGGCGGGTGGCTGGTGAACTCTCTTGTGGATGTTTTCGTGCTCTTCCATGTGAATGTGAGTGTTGCATTATATCTTTATGGTGTGCGTGTGATTCTTTTGGATTAAATGATATTTCCTAGAATACAAGTTAAAAAAACAATCATACATTTAACCTCTCAAACGAATATAGAACTAAATAAATAAATAAATAAAAATTGTACTTACATTCAATCTCAAACGAGAAAATGCTTGTTTACAGAGTGAAAATTTTGGATCAAATGAGTTTCGCACAAAAGGATGTTCAAGTAACAAAGCAGCTGATAAACGTTTTTCAGGATTCCTTTGCAAACATCTTCTCAAAAAATCTTTTCCTTCTGATGATAAAGATTCGGGTATTGGTGGTGATCTTTTTAACATGTTGAACATCGCTTGCCCCTAACAATAATTTTTTTTTTTTTTGTCAATTTCTTTCTTAGGACATTGTTCTAATCGGGTAGATTTTTCAATGTATGAAAAAGAGAAATCTCATATAAAGCCCCTACATTTTGACCTCATATTCAATTAAGTCCTTATATTTTTTTTTTTTTTGGGAAATCTCCGATAAAGTCCAAATACTTTGGGTCAGTTTACGGTTTAATCCCAATTTGTAGGTGAACAGTGGGTATCATGTGAAGGGATTTAATTGAGTATGAGGTCAAAATGTAGGGACTTAATCGAATATGAGGTTAAAATATAAGGACTTTATAGGAGATTTCCGTAGAAGTATACGAACTTACTGCATTGAACTCATTCCAAGGAGGTTTTCCAGTGACCATTTCAATTATAGTACACCCCAAGCTCCAAATGTCCATGGTACACGTGTCTTCCATATTTGCATCTTTTCTAAGAACAGCTTGCAAAACCTGTGAAGATGATGACAATCTTTATGATTGTAAACAGAAAGGGTAAATTTGTAATTTTGAAATTTAAAAAAAAATACCTCTGGAGCCATCCAGTGTGGGCTACCCTTTAAGGAAAGATCATTTGAATGCGCAGAAAGCTGTAAAGCCAGGGATAACAGATAACTATTAGGACACATAGAACACTTTTTTCTTTTCCTTTTTTTATTAATATAATTGATAAATTGATAAATTTATAGTATTATTTTTCAACTCACATGTTTTGCCAATCCAAAATCTGCTAGTTTCACTACCCCTGATGCATCAACGAGCAAATTTGCTCCTTTAATATCCCTATAAATATAATAGAGATATATCATCTACTTATAATCATAAGTTATAAATCAATAATCAATAATAATAAATTAATAATCACCTGTGAACTGTTTTCTTGCTGTGTAAGTAAGCCAATCCGGAGAGAATATGACGTGTGAAATTTCTAACTACAGATTCTGTTAAAGCTCCACAGTGTTCTTTCACATATTTGTTAATGGCGCCAGGGTGAACATACTCCAAATATATGCAAAATCGATCCTCAATCTGCATAGAGGAGAGTGATTTGTTGATAAATATGTTTTTATGAAGAAATTTAATGAAATATAGGGTAAAGAAACTTACGATTTCAGAACCAAGATACTGTACGATGTTTGGATGTTCTAAGGTTCGTAGAACTCTTATTTCCTGCTCTAATTGACGTATACATTCAGATGATTTGGTGTCGTCTGGAATGATGTCGACTTCTTTCATTGCGCATAAACTTCCAGTTTCTCTAGAAGAAAAAATTGGAATTTATGAAACAGAGAGGAGAAGATGAGAAGAAGGTAGTTTTGAGTTATGATTATGGTTATGGTTATGGGAGATGATGACATACCGATTGATTGCTTCATATACGCTACCATAAGATCCACGACCAAGGAGTTTCCCTTTCTGCCATTGTCCTTTTATCGATTGCCCATCTGATTGACGGCTAGCCACATGTCTCGGAGGTGCGGGAGGCCTGGGAAGTGGATAAACATTAGCGTTGTTGCTTTCTGTCCTTGCCATGGAAGTTTCCGGCGGAGATTTGTTGTTGAGTAAAAGGACTGACGGATTCCGGTAAGGACTCTGTAATGGCGGACTGTGGAGTTGCGATCGTCTTGTTGATGGCGGAGAAAAATTAAATTCTCGAGGAAAAGCGAACGCAGAATCAAATATATCGACGGTGCTGAACCTTTTGGGGCTGAGTGTAGGGCTCGTGGAGGTGGTGGTAGGGGCACTCCTAGCCGGAACATCTAACCTGATACCACCGCCATCGTTTTCGCCGTTTATGCCTTCAGGATAACATTTCCGGCGATGGTAAGTAGAAGTTTTAGATGAAATTGAGATACCACGACTGTTACTGTTCGTCGGAATTCTATCCGATCTGCAACTATATAGTTTCCAGATTCAATTTCACAATAAAATGGAAGCATAATCATATCAATCATATCCTCCCTTTATGATTCAAAAATCTCAGAAACTTACCGTCCATCTCCTCTGCTATTAGCTTCCGCCGGAAACCGCAATTCATCATTTGGAAGCGGCAATGGTTGGGGTACGGCCGACAAGGACCAGTGTTGCTGCAACTTATGTGGCGACTTTGACTTGGAAGTTGGGGAAACTGGCAACGATTTTGACCTAGTACTAGCATCATCTTCCTCCGGCGCACAAAAGTCCTCCATTGTCAGGTGGCGGAGTTTACGCTGCCTGGTAAGCCTCTTCTTCAATTGCGGAGAAAAAAGCCCTCCATTCATCGACGACCCACACGGCGAAGAAGAAGACGAACACGGAGACGTCGATGAAAAATTCGCATTCTTCGAAGAAGTAGATTTAGAGAAATGCATCAGATTAGCAGGTGAAGAAAGATGAAATCTCCTTTTATTGAAGAATTTACCCATGAGCAACCAAATTCGCAACCAAAATAGCCAAATGCTTTACGAAAACGGTGATCGAGAAGCTAGTAGAAATTGAGGGTTATGAGGTTGAGGAGTCGTCGCGTTTACTACCATTTTGTCAACATTTGAATCGGCAATTGAGACGTTTGTTTCCTCCATGTTAAGATTGAAGTAAGGCACACGATTATATATATACATATCATCATCACCAACATCATCATTATACTCGTTATCGCTTCCACTCTGTGTAAACGCCAAGAAACAAAGTCCAAAGTCAATGCTCGTGTGCACTACATAGTGCATACTTGGTCGTATATATATACATATATACTTTTGTATGTATAGATATAGAGGGGGGAGAAGAGACGTTCCACTGAATTTTCAAAAGCAGACCAAACTGTAAACGGTGATGTTGATTGGAAAAGTCGCGTTTGACCCTGGTGTTTTTATTTATATTATCAAACGATCCCTCTTTGGGCTTTATTTATTTATTTATTATTATAAGAAAATGTTTTTTTTTTTACAAAAAAAAAATTCATAATATTATATTAAGTAAATACTCTTATTATATGACTGTTTTTTAATAGTAGCATTAAAACAATTGTTTTAATATATTATAATTATGAATGGAGACTCCTTCAAGATCGATTTTGATGTATATTTACATCATCCGTAAGAAGTTTTCAGAGACAAGCGTTTTTGTTAGAATTACTCAGATTACACGTGGCAATCTAATTTATGGACATGACACCAATTTCCTTACCTAGAAGAGGATTTTCGTGATTAGGCAAAAACTCACCTGCTTACCTTTTTATTTTCTTAAAATGACGCTTTTAAACTTCAAAATATGAACTTAGTTCTTCTAAAGTGAAAAAAATAAAAATAAATAAATAAATAAAAAATAAAATTACATTTTAAAACAAACGTGAAAATTTTGGTAAGGTTAAAATGTTATTTTAATGTTAATGAATGTTATTTATTTTTAGGGAAAACTACAATAAAATTCTTATATATCGATCTCATAATTGATTTATTTTTTATATATATTTTTTTATTCAATTAAGTCCAAAATACCGGTAATCGTATTCAATTTAACATTTTGATCTGGTCAATAGGTCATCCAACTTTCAAAAATTATATTTTCGACCCAGATTTCAAAATTTAGTACAAATTTGATCCAAATTTTACATTTTTAGTCTAGATTTTAAATTTTTTTTACAAATTTGGTCCAAATTTTACATTTTTTTCCCAAATTTTAGAATTTTATTATGAATTCATCATAACTTTAGTCTTTTTTACAACTTTTTTTTTCTCAAAAGTTTGTTTCTAATATGTTTTTCTTTAAAACTCATATTTATAAAAAAAAAACATGTTTTCACATAAAAATCTTATTTTTTCTATATAAAAACTTTTTTGTATATGAAATATCTAATTATAAAAATAGGTTTGGATTATTTGTGTGATTTCTCTCAAAAAATCAATTAACAAATTAAAAGTAACCATAAATTATACTATTAAATTATAGTTTGTCAAAAACTAGTTACACTAGTTACCCTAAATTATACTATTAATATATATATATATATATATATATATTTTAATATGTGTTCTATTTAGTGTGTATTCTTTTTTCTATGAGATTTTAATATACTTGTTTATATGTATTTTTCAATCTGTTGCATCTTTGTAAATTAAATTATACCTTCGATCACATATATATATGACAAAAGGTATGTAAAGTTGTTCTAATCTCATATATGACAATCCATATTGATTTCAGTAGGAGTTGTAACTATCAACTTTTGTAATACTTTTTTATATTTGTTAAATGCTATTTTCTGCCAAAAACCTCCTTATCGACAAATGACACTTGCTCCATTCTAGATAGTTATTTTTTGTTATTACAAAAAACAAAATTGACACATGAATCCAATTTTACAAAGAAGCTTAAATAAAGAAATCCAAAGTGATGATGAACTATATGTATGACATGTACTCAGCGAGAAACAAAAAATATGAAGTTTTCAATATGTAGCATCTTCTATTATTTAAACTTTTCCTATAAATGTGATTAAAGAACAAATAACTAATATTAAAATGAGTGTAACTAGTTTTTGACAAACTATAATTTAATAGTATAATTTAGGGTTATTTTTAATTTCTTAATTGATTTTTTTAAGAGAAATCACACAAATAATCCAAAACTATTTTTATAATTAGATATTTCATATACAAAAAAGTTTTTATATAGAAAAAATAAGATTTTTATGTGAAAATATGTTTTTTTGTATAAATATGAGTTTTAAAGAAAAAACATATTAAAATCAAACTTTTGAGAAAAAAAGTTGTAAAGAAAACTAAAGTTAGGATGAATTCATAATAAAAATCCTAAAACTTGGGCAAAAAGGGTAAATTTTGGATCAAATTTGTAAAAAAAATTAAAATATGGGCCAAAAGTGTAAAATTTGGACCAAATTTGTAATAAATTTTCAAATCTGGACCGAAAATGTAATTTTTGAAAGGTTGAGGACCTGTTGACCGGATCAAAGGGTTAAATTGAATACGATTACCGGTATTTGAGACTTAATTGAATAAAAAAAATATATAAGGGCTAAATCGATTATGAGGCCAATATGTAGGGACTTTATTGCAGTTTTTTCTTATTTTTAAAATTAGTTTGAGAAATTTATTTTGATTTCTAACGTAGTTTATAGTTTATAGACAAAATGAGTTTTTGGAATTACTTATTTGAAGTGTTTATTGATTTATTTCGGTTTGATAAATCACTTCCTACTTACTTATTAAGTAATCAACTTAAATAAATAGTTTTTGATAAGTCACTTCTTATTTACTTGTTGACTTGTTTAATGAGTTTTTGATAAATTATTTCATTATAACACATAAAATAAAAGTTTGTCAAACATTGAAAATAATTTAACAACTTATTTTGTACCATATAGCTTTTTACCAATCATCCGAGTGTGTTTTTCCCTCATTAAGGTTGATGGTTCAAAGTGTCGTATGAGACATATGTAAAATTAGAAGTAAGGTTGTAGAACTCGTTACTCGGTATCTGTTTGGCCAACTACCGAGTAGCGAGTACTTAGGAGTACTCGGATTCAGTAATTCATGTAGAAATATTTTTAGGGAACTTATATATGTCAAAATCATAAGTTAAAATCTTAAGTTGATTGAAATATATAATAAAATTAGATACATGTGAATACACAAAAACTGAAAAACACATAATAGCCTCACTTCGTGAATAACTATTGAAAACTTAAGATATATATGCAGTAATAATCACATATTTTTTTGTTAAATAATAAATCGCTACGTATATTATACATATTAATCACTGAGTTGACCGAGTTTTACAACACTTCAGTTCAGTAAGGGTCCGATCGGGGAGTACTCAGGATTTTGTAACTCGCCTCGGTAAAGGGCCGAGTAGTGAGTACTCGGAGGAGTAATCGGCCAAATCGGCGAGTTTTACAACACTGATTAGAAGTAGTAAGAAGTAAGTTAGATTCGTTGTTCAAAAAAACTTATTTTGTTTTGATATAAGATAGATTAATCCAAACATTTTTAGAATGGAATACATACATTTATGTTATAATCGTAACCAAAAGTATGACTGTCTTTAATGACTCACACCCAAAACCTTAGAAACGTAGAATGATGAGAGAAGATGAGGGAGGAAAATTTCGGGTATAAGCCTCTTAGGAATGTTATGAACCAAATTTGCATTCGTTGGGGTCCTATTTATAGTGTATGTGGTACAAGGAAACCTCTAAATTTGAATAATAACATAATACAATTTATCTATTCAAATATGATAATCATTATCAGCTTTTCAAGCCTTCCATAATCCTCCATTATCCTTTGTAAAATCGTTCACCACTCTAAGAGGGTTCTAAAATTGTTTAAGACATTTACAAATAAACATAAGTTGTTTTAAATAAACAGTTCGAAACACCTCCTAAGTTACATAAATGGTTCATTTGTATTACAAAGATAGTTTTTCTTTTAAGTTCATATTTTTACAAATATGGTTTTGTTTTTTACAAACTCGATCTTTAATTACTATTTACATTTAGTTTATTTTTTTCTATATGTTTTTAATATAGATATTTTAAAACACCCAACACCAAGATTAATCACTTATTTGAACTTCCATTCTAACCAAAATAAGAACAATGATAACAATAGCAGAAGTCGAGAAATGAATAAACTGAGGCCAAAACCGTTCCAGGCTTATATAAGGACCGAGGCAAAAACCAAGAAACATATCCAACAGTTGTGCCCGGAACATAGCAGCAATCTCGTCATGTAGGATCTCTCAAATCCTAGCATACAACTCCTCTGTACCCATCTACACCACAGGCTCAGGTGTTGTTGGCCCCTCCTAGCCTCCGTCTCCTGCTCCTGATCCTGAACCGGATCCCGTCACAAAGCATATCGTCATCACCATTCTGAAACATACCAAACGATATTAGATAATCCAATAATAATTGGGATCCAACTCCCGACTATACCCTAGGGGTTATGACTTCCTTTCTATGCGCATGGGTCATGTGCTTTTAGTAGTACGGGCCGATACTACCTTCCACACTTACCTATATTTCTCTCAAGTATCACCACAACACCCTAGCAATACACATAACCGTAACGAGCACTTGATCCTCACTCCTAGAGGAATGCTAAATATCTTGTGACTGGCCTATCGACCTCACACTACTCACTCATCCATGAAACTTCCACCCAACCCTGTAGCACTCGTGTATGCTAGCCATACATAACCTTGGACCCTATAGACTTTCGAATATCCGATCCTACCCTACGCCCTAATAAATAAGGACAAAACATAAGGCCAAATCAAACATTCTCAGGCTATAAGATCTTAATTACATACAACCGTGATGCATACACAAGTAAATACAGTAATGATGTCAATCTCATATAAGGAAAACCCTAGGCTAGCAAGCATCATGTAATTAGGCAATCCTATCATGCAATTTATGAAGATCCCTAGCCTAGTACTAGCATACTATTCTAACATATCACATAATCAAATAACTGTATGGTATTTTGGGGTCTACTTGCTGGCTCCGGCTGATCGTACACCATGTATCCTCCTCTACTTATTTTGAAAACCACTTTAGAAATCATTTTGAAAACCTTTCCTTGATTTGAGACTGGATTCACACGAATGTTCCTCCAATTCACTCAAACAAAGGCTATGATACCAACTTGTAATACCCATACAATTTAAGCAAATTTTAACTTTTCCAAAACACTTAATAT